CTGAAGTTTTTATATTACAGTAACAGGTATGGGACAAGATGGAGGATTTTGGGTGGTGTCTCTTTCAGTGTTCATCATCCTTCTTCTGGAAGCAGGAGCAGGCTTGGCAAGGCCAGGTGTCCTCAGCCAGCACTGGGGCTCCTGCCCCACGGCTGGGATGGCTCAGGCTGGCACAGGGTCCCTGCCAGGGGCACTATCTGCCATCCCCAGGGGCACTGCCCTATCTCACACAACACGTGCTGGAAGCCTGTTCTGATAAAGCCACAGCTGAATTTCCCTAAGGAAGGGCAGAGGTGGTCCCTGAGTGAGGCACAGAGGGAACATTATCAGTGCTGTCCTTAAGAAAGAACAGAGCTCTCCGAATCATAATTCTCATTAAGATACAAACAATAAGAAAAAGCAAAACAAACATAAGGTTCCTTCCACACATTAGTAACTGCAAGTAGTACTGAGTAATCTGAAACCAAAATAAACATAGGAGTTTTATTTAGCACAATTACAGCTCTTTGGAAAACACCTCCTGGTTTATTTTGAGGAAGGCAAGAGCAGGGGCTACAATTTCATCTAGGTGAGGCCAACCATTAGCACTCTGGCAATTCATGTCAGCAGAGAACCTGATACCTTATTTTCAAGAACTGAAAAACAGTTCATGATTTCAAACCAGCCAAGGTTTACAAGGGGACATTGGCAAGACACCTCTTCCTTTGTTTACATGCTTGGGTAAATATTTTACATGTCAAGCATAGTTATAACACTTTCTAAGAATATTCCATTACATTCTTTCTTCTATGACTAATAATTCTTCCACAAAAATATTTGGCTGGTGCTGCATTACAGCAAAATTAGTCAGGCACTGGAGCCGTATTTTGAGGAAGGAAAAAAAGGAAAATACCACAAAAAATATATGAAATTGAAAAAGCAGAGAAAATGTCTATTTCAACAGACATAATGAGGTGTTCATGCTGAGGGAAGGTGCCCATTTGGGTATTGGATAAGGTCACTCTCGAAAGGGGAAGGTTCTAAAATTGAAGTGTACTCCAGAGCTCCAGGCCTCTCTGGCTTGTTTTTACCTCGACAAGCAAGAACCCAGCAATATTCCAGCCAAAACTGTAGCTGGTTTTGTGTCTGTCTCAAAGATAACATGCAAAAGAAATGCCAGGACTTTTTAAAAGTTACTTATTTTAAGGAAATGATCTTCAAAGCCTGTCTTTGTGAGGAATATTCACTCTTCTGCTGAGTAATCCAAGAGATTCTCAAATTAATTAGCATCTTGCAGCAGTAGAGCTGATGTGTGACTTTAATAAATACTTACCAAGAAGATAGGTTTTCCTGCAGAGCCTGCTAATTAAAGAGTCTAAAAATGTCCCAAAAGCAGCTCCCTCTAACCTGAGCACTTCAACTCAGTCCTGACCAGAGGTGACCACATGGTGACATTTCAGAGCTCTTCGCATGAAATGAGGTGGCTTTTGTCAGCCTGGCTGAAGGCACAATGCATCAATCAGCTCTTGCTGCTAAACCTGGAGCACCTCTGCCAGCAGGGAACATTTCCTCCAGTCCCATGTGCCACAAGGGGCAGCACGAGTGGCTGGAGGGCTCCTTGCCAGGGCTCCAGCTGCTCCAGAGGGAAAACCTTTAAGGCTCATGGTTCTCGCTCTGGTTCACAGGAGGTTTTGTTTTGTTATTTTTACTTCAGCTGTGACAGCCTTGTAATTAAAGATAGCACTAAGTGTCTGCTGCACACAGGGTGAGAGGCTGGAGAACACTCTATTTTCTGCATTAAGAATTGTTTCATCTCTCAGAAATGCAATAATTCCACTCTCCAAGTGGTAAAGTGGCATTTCCCAGAGCTGCTCATAACACCTTTAAAATGCTCTTGGAATGACTTAAAAGCCAAGACACATAAGAGGTACCACAGCCCTGGCATATTAACCAATTTTCTGGGAAAAAAAAAAAAAAAAAGAAAAAAGATTTTCAAAACCAGCTTTAAAAAAGGAGAGACCCATGATCTTGGCAAAGAACATTTTCTAAAAGGGACATTTGACAGACAGGACACCATTTAAATATAGCACAGTGCTAATGCACAAAGCTCTTCACAGCTTTATAATTATCAATAAACAAACCTAGTTTCTCCCTTGCTTGGCCAGCACAAGGTAACAGAAATCATTAGACTGGTTTCACTTCAGTATCTTGTGCAGAGATCCCCAGCTGACCTCCTCTAACCCAGCTGTTTATCACTCCTTGGGCTGACAGCAAAACTGCACGTGAACACAGCTCCTTCCATCAAACACACTCGATCTGGTCTGAGAGCCACCTTGTTCAGCCCTGTGAGGCTTCAAAGAGATTTCCACCCCCAGAACACCGGGAGCAGGGACAGGGCTGTCCCAGGCCCTCCCCACCCCAGCCAGCACGTGTCACCACAGGGACAGGGACAGGCAGGCTGCAGCCCGATTACTGGATGTGAAACAGGACAGAGTGCTGGGAATGAGAACGCTCCACTCCCACGTGCCCAGGAAATGCTCAGGATCAATATTGTTCTCCATTAGTGCAGCATCCAAATCGATGCCTTCGACTGCACTCCGAGGGAGCTGTGAAACCGCTGGGCAGCACAGCTGAGTCCAGAGATCAGCAGCATTTAGAGCTAAAACCTGCCTGTCCCAAGGACTCAAACATCAGCTAATTTACACATGATTAGGATGGATCTCAGCAAGGCCTGCATATGGACAAAACCTTATTTACATTAAAGCTGAACCACTTCTCAAATATACCTGAATCATCTGATTTGCACGTGACTGAATAATCTCAGGATTTTTCGTATTTGTAACTTCAGTGTGAAAGGAAAAAGAGAAATTAGACCCTATAGAAAAAGGTTGTGCCCATATGTATATGAGAGGAACTCCATGGATTTAAGAAATCAAATTTTAACAGCGAATAAAAACGTGAGATTTTAATAATTTCTTTCTTTTCTGTTTCTTAGTTGGATTCCTTTCCCAATACAGGCAGTAAAGACTTTTTTTTCCCAAAACCCTTATCAGTTTAAAGGCCTTTGCTATGTACATGTCCATTTCCTGAGGCTGTATCAGCCCCTGACATCTGACCAAGGGCTCCTCAGCAAGCATTAGACTACAGGGAAGTCTGCAAGTGCCTGCCGGAACGTTTGTGTCAATGGATTAGGGAACTCATTCATAAACAGCAACTGCCACAGCAGATAACATTCCAGACAGACGGAAGCTTTTCTGTGGGTAGAGATTATGTAACACCACGATTTTTAATCCACTTGCCCAGAGGAAGAAGAAATGAGCTCACTTTCATGGAGGTTAAAGCTTCCTTATTCCGTTTTTCTCTGTTGTTTGATGCAGTCATGTTGAACTAGCAGATGATACTGAGCACATGAACTGAGGGACTTGGAAAATCCACCTTGCTCATCTCCAGCCCATCCAGAAACTCTGCTGCCATCAGTTTCTCTCTTCCCTCTGCCTTTTCCCTACTCACATCTTTTGTGGACCTCTCACTCCAATTTATCCGAATTACCAGAATAACCTGAGAACTGCAGTCATTCAGTTACAAAACAGGCATCACTCAGAGAAAAATAATGTGAATGGTTATTAAACTGAGCATATCACTCAAACTGGGGCAGATGCTTAATCCTGACAGTTTACAGGACATCCAGTGGCATCACGTGGACTCACAGGGAACGTGACCAGCTGCTGTCCCAGCACAGCGAGCCACAGGGCTGGGCTCCAAGGAACTCAGCTATGATTTCTAGTCCAGGAATTACATTTATTGAAAACCCCTCTTTTATTGAACATTGCCTTGTTATTTACATCTTCCTCATCTGTTTTGCAAAGCTACGTGGCCAAAACTTTGCATACAAACCAGGTGGCAGCAGCAATCATTAACTGTTACACAGCACTTCTCACTGCTGTCACAAGGGTCACTTCTCCTGTTTTTATGGCTGCCAAGATCTGCTTCCTTCTGAAAACTTCCTGATTCAGTGGACTCAACTCTGACACCCAACACAGGTCAAGGACTCAGCACTGTTTTATGGAGCAGGTTGGGAAATGCATTCATTTCCCAGTTCTTGGAACACATGCTGCTGCCACTGAAAGCAGGACTGATTAATACAACCTAATCTAGACTATTTGTCCACAAATTGCAGAGGCAGACCTGACACAGAGCTGTACTTTCATTTCTCTATCTTTAGTCCATTTCCATCACCTCTTTATTGTTTCTTTTGGCTATTTCTGTATTGAATTTCAGTCAGCTTTTTATTCTCGCAGTAAAAAGCTGAGTAATTCTCGGTCACTCTGACAGTGGGATACATGACTGTTACATTTTATAGTTCACAAGGGTATTTCTATATTTTGTGTGCTCAGCAGCAAAACCAAAGCAAAGGCTGAACATTCCTGCTCCCAGGAGCAATCCATGGATTAACACAATTTTTAATAGCTGCACATAACACATTTGAGGTTGTTCTGAGGGCAACAAGAAAAAAAAAACCAATCACAAGTTGCAGAAGAAATTACTGAATGTTGAGCTTCAGCAACTACAGCCCATGTTCAATGCTGCTTCCAAGATTAACAGACATTGATTTTCCCTCTCAATTTCAGGCCCATGCTTATGGACCAGCTGCCCTTCAAAAGTCCTTACTCCTCTTCTGTACTCCAAAAAGTGGATCCAAAGCCCACAGGGGCCAGTCTGAAATCTCTGCTGAGGCTGGAGGACACACTGTGACTGCAAATTAGAACTGGAGCAAGACACAGGAGGAGAAATGGTTGTGAAAAGGGATGGACTAACACAGGGAAGGCAGGTTCCAGGATTTCAGCTACTTCAGTACCTGTAATTATTGCCCTGTAACACTCCCAAAACACATCCCCTCCCCAGTACCTGCATTAGCAGCCCCAGCTCCTCTGCACTGTCATGGCTCAGAGCAGGGAGGCTGTTCAGTGAACAATTCACATGGCAAGGCCATCCAAAAGCCAGAGACACAAAATTCTACCAACCTTGGCAAAGATGTTCCAGCAGTGCTACCCGACTGTCATGGTGGAATCGGAGGGGACACTGGGATCAGAAACCTGAAATCAGAGTGGCTTTCATCAGCAGCCTGGCCAGGCCTCCCCAAAAACCAGATACTGCAATCACACTGTTTCTACAAATATATTAATGACACCAAATGGGTAATTTCTAAACTTTATGTTAGCTCTGGTTATGCTATTTATGAATAAAGTGAAGAAAAAAATGCTGATGGCTCCCCATCCTTTGACATCTTCCCCCACAGAAAAGGTGTTTATTGTGCTGCTTGTCTAGATGGGGGTTAAATTAGCCAGGAATGCACTGATCCTCTGGCTAAATTCCCTTTTTATTAAGAAACTCATTTAAAAATCAGGAGATCCTTTAGACAGCTCAAGTGACCTTTATCAGCAGGCACCAACTCAGCATTTTTCTTGTAAAGAAAGAGCTCATTATCCACACACTCCTCTGGGATCTCCAAGCAGAACACAGCAGCTCCAGAGTCCATCCCCAGCTGAAGCTTTCAGGAGACTCATTTTGCATTTATTAAGCAGGATTTGACTTTTCTAGAAGGAGGAAGAGTTCCCAACAGTGGCTTTGGAAAGCAGAGGCACCAAAGAGAGAACACACAGGTGCTATTTCAGGAGTGCTGCAAGGCTCCTTTCCCCAGTTATTTGGATGAGTTGGCCTCTCATTGTGCAGTGACTTTCCAAACAGACTCAGCAACTCTGTGATGCAATTATTAATCCAGTCCCACTGCCTGGCCAATGTCCCTTGGTGATCACAGCTTTTGGCAAAGAGGGACAAAGGTGTTGTTAACTACAGCACTAGAGCCTTATAGCAAATTCATTACACAGGGTGAAATGTTATTTACTTTTCTCTACACCCCAATTTTCTGCTTTTTTCTCTACACCCCAATTTTCTGCTTATGGGTTTTCAGGTACAATATTATACTTTGAGTCTCCTGGCTGCACTGTTACACTGTGAACTGAACACTTGGCTGCCTATTGTGGGCACACAGAACAAGTTCGAGACAAGGTCAAGTGACAAACACATCTTGGCATTGCCCAAACTCAGGGCTGAAAGCACCAACTAATAAAAGGAGATGATGATTTTTACTTCTCATGACCTGTAAAGATGAAGTCACCACATAAAAAATGTTACAATGTTCTGAACAGAAAACTCCAAGCAAGTGGTTATGAAACCTCTTGGATTCTGAGAAGGCAGGACTGAGCATGCCAAAACATGAAGGTACTTCAAAGAGACTGAGCTAAGATCAGATTTATGACCAAATCAGTTGAAGTAAGAGAGTTTCTCAAGTTTGTTGGTTAAAAATACTTTGGAGATGCAAATATCAATTACTGGTGTGCAGAGCTCAAGTAAGGCCACCTCTGGAGCACAGGAAAACAAAGTGTAACTGTGAGTGATTTTATACTGGACACATCCAACAGCCCTGCATGGATCTTAGATGATACATTTCTGTTAGCAAAACCAGTGATGAGGCTTCTGGAATTACTATCTTATCTGACACTCCAAGAATTCTCTCAAAACCTTTCCAGAAAATAAACAACCCCATATTCACTTTCTCTGCCTGTAGGTATATGCACTTTACATCAAACAGCTCAAATGATTTTGCTACTTGGTTCTCACCACTGTTAAGAAAGATAGAAATAATCATTTTGGTTCTTTCATCTACAGCTTCTTCCAGCTGCCCCTGCAGCTTGACTGAGTTCACTGAACTCCACTCATTTATAGAGAGAAACAACAAAACAGAGAGCTCCCCCAAAATAAAATGATGTAATGAACTCTCTACCAGAAAGAGCACTCCTTTCAAGCCCAAATCAAACACAAAATTCATCCCCTTTAATTCTGGCAGCAAAAGAGCATCAAAAGATATCAAAAAGCATTTCATGTGCTGCAAATTAGTCTGTCTTGAAAGGAACACCAATAAATCAGCACACACCTATTTTCATGACAACAGAACTTACTTTAACCTTTAACTGCTTTAAGATAAGCTGAAGTAAGTCTAGACACAGTTGTCTGCACAGGCTTCACTTGGTTTACATAAGCTGTTGCATTTCAGCCCTAAGATCAGAACATGGATGTTATTATGGAAAATAAAGACAGCTGCTGTACAGGCTGCTTTGCAGAAGAGCATTTGTTAGTGATGTAAATACAGAGTCATGCTATGAAGTGTATTTATTTTAGCAAAAGGTGACTGCTTCCCTAAACGGGGGAATAATAATAAAGGCACATGGAAATCCAGTCTGAAGGATAATAACTCTCACAAGCAGCACACTAACCTACAGTTCTTGACCCCAATAATTCACTGTTTTGATGCTCAGATCACTGAAAACACTTCTGAAAACTGAGCAGGAGGTATTTATAACCCTCAAAGCCTGGTGACTGTGAGCAGTGCAGCCTCACAGCCCCTGCACAGGGTAAACAAGAACACACGTGAACAGGGAAGGCTCAGCCTTCCTGTTGATTCCCAGACACAACTTCCTTCCAACGAGCTGTTTGTGACTGCTGCTAATGCCAGCAGGAAGGACTGGGACAGAGGTGAGGACAGGGCTCTCACAGGGACCACAGGTGACCTTTCTGCCTTGAAGCCATAATCTACAGCTACAACAGGATTTGGGTTACACTAACCCTGGCAAAACAATTCAGAACACTCTCCTTTACAGAGGTTCTCAACCTCCCAGGTTTACAGAATCCCAGAATGGTTTGGGTGGGAAGAGACCTTAAAGCTCATCCAGTGCCACCCCCGCCAAGGGCAGGGACACCTTCCACTGTCCCAGGTTGCCCCAAACCCTGTCCAGCCTGGCCTTGGACACTTCCAGGGATCCAGGGGCAGCCACAGCTGCTCTGGGCACCCTGTGCCAGGGCCTCCCCGCCCTCACAGGGAACAATTCCTTCCCAATATCCCATCCAAATCTACTGTCAGGGTGAAGCCCTTCCCCCTTGTCCTGTCATGCCAGGCCCTTGAAAAGTTTCCCTTGGTCTTTCTGCAGGCTCCCTTCAGCTCCTGGAGGCCACAATAAGGTCACCCTACACCTTCTCTTTTCCAGCCTGAACAATCCCAAATCTCAGCCTTTGCTCACAGCAGAGCTGCTCCATCCCTCTGATCATCTTGGTGGTCTCCTCCAACAGCCTCATGTCCTTCCTGTGCTGTTCCCCAGGGCTGGAGGCAGCTCTGCAGGTGGGGTCTCAGCAGCAGGGCACAGGGGGAGAATCCCCCCTCCCCTGCTACCCACACTGGGAGCTCAGCCCAGGGCTCTGGGTCCAACACACGTGAGCAGGGCAACTCATGGCCAAGTCCTTCTCCCAGGGCTGTTCTCCAGCTCTTCATTCCCAGCCTGGATTAACTCTGATGCAGCACCTGGACCTTGGTCTTATTAAACCTCATACCCAAGACTGTTTGCATTATTATCATCCCTTCCCTGAAGAGCCTCAGGTCACTGAGGCAGTACAGTGACAGGCAGGATCACAGCTGATACAACAATGTGAACAGAGGTGGGCTGAGGTCCCCATTTAGGGGAAAACCCCTTAGAAACTCCTGCTCCTTTCAAAGCACAGTGGGGCCAGAAAGGAGGGAGGAAAAGGAAGGTTAACCTAAAAACAGGTTTAAGAATAACACTGCGCCAGCCTACAGCCCCAGAACACGCGTAGGAGGGTGGTGTGTGACCAACCAGCACCCCAAGGAGAGGCTGGTTCCATTCTGGGGGTGGTGGGCACAGCAGCAGCCTCTCCACAGGGCACAGCCCAGAAAAATGTGACCGTGCCAGGGACACGAGGATGCAGTGCTAACCTAGGGAGAACAGTCCCAGCCCCCTGCCAAACACAGAGTGTAGGAGACACTCCAAAGACCCCCTTTGCAAATTAACACTAAGAAGGTGGCAGCACGCCCATCCCCACACATGTCCCCTGTCAGTGCACACACAGTGCTGTCCCCAAACACCCTCAGAGCAGCCCCCAAAACTCCCCAGGCCCCTCCAAACCACAGTCACAACAACAGAGCCTGCTGTGACCCCCAGACACCCCCTGAGCGCCATATCCCCTGTGACCCCCAGACATCCCCTCAGCCCCACATCCCCTGTGACCCCCAGACATCCCCTCAGCCCCACATCCCCTGTGACCCCCAGACACCCCCTCAGCCCCACATCCATTGTGATGGCCGGACACCTCCCAGCCCACTCATCCATATCCCCTGTGATCCCCAGATACCCTCCGAGCCCATTCACAACAACAGAGCCCCCTGTGACCCCCAGCGTGCCCCCCGGCACCCTCCCCCACGTTTCCTGTGAGCCCCAAGCCCCTCTCGGCCCCGCACCCTCCTCTATGCCCGCTGGGCCGGGAAAGGCCGCCACCCAACCCCCTTTTCCGGACACACAGCGCACTGCGGGCGCCCCCAGGCCCGTAACAGCCCTCAAAGCACAGAGAGGACGGAGAAGAACCCCAGAAACCAAGGGGAGAACGGGAAGAGGCCCCCAAAGCCCCGCAGGGTCCCAAGCCGCCCTCCCGCCCTCCGAGGCCTCACTCACCGCGTCCCCGCCGCGGCCGCTCCCTCAGGCGGGCGGGGGGGCGGGGCCCCGCCGCTTAGCCCCGCCCACCACCCGCGCCGCCAGGTGATTGGACCAGCTCCATGATTGGCTTTTCCGATTGGCCAATGGGTACCGAGAAAGCGTGAGGGGGGACGGGGCGTGAGGGGGCGGTGCCTTCGGGGAGCGGAGCCCTCCCAGTCCGGCCCAGTCTCCTCCCAGTCCGGCCTCATCTCCTCCCGCAGCCTCTTTTTGTCCCTAAAAGTGCGTCCCAGTCCCTTCCAAGTTTATCCCAGTCTCCTCCCAGTCCATCTCCGTATATCCCAGTCTATGGCAGTTCTCTCCAGTGGTTCCCAGAGCCCGTCTAGTGCCCCTTTTGTTCCTAAAAGTATTCTTCTTGTCCCTCCCACTCCCATCCAACCCTGTCCTAGCGCCTCCCAGTCTATGCCAGTGCCTTAACGGTCCACTCTCGGTGCCGTTTTAGTCTCTAAAATTGCCTCACAGTCCTTCCCAGTCCTATTCAATCCCTCCCAAATCCTATTCAATCTCCTCCAAATCTATTCCAGTCACTCTCACCTCATCCCAGTCTGTCTCAGTGCCCTCCAAAGTCTATTCCAGTCCATCCCAGTCTATCCCATTACCCCCCTCAGTCACTCACAGCCCCCTTCCAGTGCCTCTTTTGTTCCTAAAAGTGTACATTTTATCCTTCCCAGTCCCATCTAACCCCCTCCCACTTACCCGTAGAACCCCACAACGTGTGTGTCTCACGTCACAGCGTGTGCAGGGGGCAGGTGGGCACCTCCAGGTGAGCTCTCACCTCCCGTCATGGGCACCCCCAGGTGCGCTCCCACCTCCCGTCGTGGGCACCTCCAGGTGAGCTCCCACCCCCGGTCGTGGGCACCTCCAGGTGCGCTCCTACCTCCGGTCGCTCCCGTCCCGGCGCGCAGCTTCCCCCCTTCCCCCCTCTCCCCCGGGTCCCCCGCTGTCCTGGTGGAGAAAAAGGCTGAACCCCGGTCCTGGAGCTGCTCCCGGCGTGTCCCGGGATCCCTCGGCCGCGTATCCGCCCCCGGGGCTCCGGGACAAGGAGGTTTCCCGGTGCTGTCCCGGTACCGGCCGAGCCGCGGGTCACGGTCCCGGCAGGGGCGGGGGGAGCCCGGCCCGGCCCCGGGCGCTGCCCCCGGCTCTCTCCGGCCTCCCGGGGCTCCGGCTCGTTTCGATTTCGTTTTTCGCGAGGATCGCGGCGCAGCGGCCGCGGGGACGGGACCTGAGCGCTCCGGACACGGCGGCAGCGCCGGGCTCCGGCTCCCCCGGCCATGCAGGTAGGAGCCGCCCGGCCCGGGCCCTTGTCCTCCCTCCTCCCCGGCCCCCTCGGGATTTCTCCTCCTCACTTAGGGCTGGGAGTTCATGCCCTGGGGGGTGAACCCCTACCCCACCTCCAAACGGCTTCACAAAGCCCAGAGCAGCCGGCAGCCTCTGTTCCTTCCCCACGTTTAGTTCTGAGCAGAAAGCTGCTCTCACACATCTGGGGGGCTCCTTTTCCTTTTTACCCCCTTTTTCCTCACGTTCACGCGTGAACCAAGGACAGTATTTCCTCTTGAAGCAAAGAAAAGCCATCTCAGGAAAGTCTGAAAGCAGCTAACCAGGGATAAAAGCAAGAACATAAAATTAGTATAACATAATAAAAATTCGGAATGTATCTCAAGGCTTAAAAATCTTTAAGAGCAAGAAAAATACCAGATTTGTTCTGGTTTGTAAGAGAGTCAGACCAATGGGAGAAAGTTAAAATAACTTTTAGATAGTTCTAGACAAAATATACTGATAATTTCTTTCACTTTTATTTTCCCTATAGCTTATTGCTTAGAGCGAATCTGAAAGACAGTTTGCATTGCTGCCAAGTCTGCTCAGAGTTTATTCAGGAGTGTCACCGTTCTCCTCATGCAGTGTCACGTAGCTGTCTGCTTTGCTAAATCCAACCCAGTGACAGCCAGTGACCACCAAATTGTCCTTCTGCTGAGGAAACCCCCTCACCACTTGCTGCCTTCCTCCTGCTCTGACTCCCAGGGAAGCATTTTTCCCTGGGGTGATGCAGGGAAAGAGACTGAGACTGCTCCTGTCTCCTGTTCTCCTGAATTTGGGAGCTTCAGCTTTGCATTTAAGATGTGTCCAACTCCCATCTCCTCACCCCGTATTTTCAGAGGGCTCAACTCCTCTGCCTGCACACACAGTCGAGGGGTGGCTGCTCTAAATCACCTGCAAAAGCCTGCCTGAGCCTGAAGTGCTCAGAGTTGGTAACTGCTTCAGAAAATACCATTTGACAGCGAAATTGTTAATTTTCCAGTGAGTGAAGCTGAGAAATGGCTGGGATCCACATTAATAGGTTTTTAAGGAGAAACATTATCTGCTTGGCTGCCAGTAATATTTCAAGATCTAGATGTGGCTGGAAGCAGCATCCGAGCTCCCTTCTGGCTCACATGCCATGGCTGAGGGGCAAAAGTAATTCTCGAGGGGCCAGAACTCCATGGACAGTGAGCAAGAGGATCTTGCATCTCCCTGAACCATGGGATGGCCATTTCCACTTATGCCCAAATGATCAGTGCAGATAGAGAGATCTCTCTCCATATGGTGTTTTCAAGACAAAATCAAAGCACTATTGGCAACTTTATTTTCACAGCTCTAAAGAATTGAAGTGCTCTCCTAAAACCTTGAGCATCCATTGAGTATCAGAGGGTCCTGCAGGAGCAGGGAGCCAGCACAGGCACTGCAGGCTCTGCCACTCTTAGCTCCATCTTCTACTTCCCTGCAGCCATGGGGAGTGGGGATGGATAATCCCCATCCAGAGCCTGAATGAGGGCAGGTTCCTCTGCTAAAAGCTGAAGAAAGAGAGGGATCTCTGGCTACTAATGCTGACTTGGGCAACCAGGGACTCATCCTGGGGCTAGGATGAGGAAAAGTGTGAGGAAGAGGTGCAGACAGCACATCACATCACATCACATCACATCACATCACATCACACTGCTATGAGAAATCAGTTAGGAAATAAATACTGGAGCAGGTGGAGGAATCTCCAAAGCAAAGGCAAGACCAGAGCTGGGAATTTCCCCCCACTGATGTATCTGATCTCTTCCCCAGGGCAAAGTGGCCATCAGCTCTTCCAGCCCTGTGGTGGCAGTGCCATTACCACCCCCATCCCAGGCCAGACCCTCACCCATCAGCACTGGGGAGATCTTCAGGCTTCCAGGGAGGCTGAGTGAGTAGAGGTTAAGCAAGTCAATGCTGCTCAAAAAGGAGTTCCCATGGGGTGGGACAGGGTGGGTACAGCCATGGTGTCCCACCCAGGGACCATTCCCTGCTGGCGAGGGGGACAGGGCTTTATCAAGGTTCATTTTCTCCTGAGTGCTTAATATAGAGGGAAAGCTTGGTGATGGAGAAGAAGCCTCACCCTGCCACTCAGCAGTTTTAGGATGGAGACAGAGTTGTTTCAGAGGCTGCTGCTGGTTTCAGGAATCCAGCCCTCACTGTGGAGCAAGGAGGATGTGATCCACTGGCTGCGATGGGCTGAGGAGGAATATTCCCTGCGGGCCAGTGACGAGAGCAAGTTCGAGATGAACGGCAAAGCCTTGTGCATCCTCACCAAGGAGGACTTCAGACACCGAGCTCCCAGCTCAGGTTAGACCCAGGGCAAGGGGTTTGTGAGCATCATCCCAGCACGAGGTGTGCTCTGCTGAGAGGGCTCCATGGGTCCCAGCAGACCAGGTCTTGTGCTGGAGATGAGGACAACTCTTCCTTTCTCTGGTCCATCTGAACTGCAAATCCTTTGGGATGGGGAATAACCTCACACTGTGTAGTTCAGAATCTCAGCAACATCACCTAAGAGGGACCATTATCTAAAAGCTTCTGAGCAGTTTCCTTCCCTGCAGGGGATGTGCTTTATGAAATACTCCAGTTCATTAAGACTCAGAGAAGAGCTCTGGTGTGCAGCCCCTTGCTGAACTCACCCTTCAGGAAAGCCAGGAGCATGGAGAAAGGTATGATGGCAGAAAAATACCCTGGGAGAACAGCAGTGTCCAGCAGGCAGAACCTGCCTGCAGCCCCAGTGGGTTGCACAGAGCTGGGGCTTGGAGCTCAGCCTGCTGAAACCATCCCACACCTGAGAGAGGCAGCCAGGCCCAGCAAAGTCCGGGTCATCTGGGATGTTTGTAGAGATGCAGCAGGTCAGAACCAGCCAGGCAGCACCAGGGGGTCCATGGCAAACTGGCAAGGCCTCGCCTAAGAAGTTTGGGATTTGGATCAGGGAGGCACAGCCCTGCTGGAGACTAATCCTGCAACATAGCTGGGAAAGAAAGGACTGAGGAGCCAGGGCTGAGCTTATACAGAGCTTCTGGGTCAGTGGGTGGGGTGGGGAGAGGGCTCAGGTGAGGGTGGTGGGGGCCAGTGAGGCTTCTCCGTGCCCTTGGGGGACCCAGGTAGGAGTTAGGGTGGGGTTGGATTGGTGTCAGAGGCTGGATGTGTATGGAGGTGGATGTGGGAGTACTTGCCTGGGCTCTTCTGCTGGTTCATGTGCAAGGTAATTAACATATTAACATATTAAGTGCCCACAACAATTTACCAGGGGGTGCCTGTGCTCTGGGTCATTTTCCTATTCCAGTTTTTTTTCTGTATCTGACCCTTACCCTACCTGACATCTCCTCTAACCCCCTTGGACTTTTTGCTGCTCCAGCCTTAGGAAAATCTCAGGCTTTCCTCAGCACCCTCCTGCTCTGCCTGGGCTGGTCCCAGGCTCATAACCACCCCGGGCTGTCCCTCCCCTCCTGTTTCAGGGCTTTGCAAGGTCTAGGACCTGCCCTAGTGAACCACGGGGTGCTTATTAGGGTTTTTTTTGCAGGTGCAGACTGCAGTTCTGAGGCTGCTCCAGTTGTTTCCTCGTGGCTGGGCTGTGCAGAGCAGCCCCTGTTCCACGGGCACACGCAGCCACTGAACCTCTCCCAGCACAGCTCAGAGAGTAGCTGCAGACCAGGTGCCATCTGCTCTTTTCCTGCTACCCTGTCAGCCCCAGTGGATGGGAAAATTGCAGGTAATTATGAATTTATAGCCTTGTTCCTTGGGGAAATGAGATGGTGCTTTGTCCTGTCTGCCCATCTGTCTCCTTTCCCCTCATTCCATGCTTTTCCACCTCAGTTTCCCCACCTGAAAAATTGTAATTGCTCTGAGATCTCACAGTAAAAATGCCATGTGTGAGCTCTGGGTTCTTCTCATATTTATTGTCGCTGCTAAACGTGCAATCCTGCTGCTGAGCCAGCCTCGCTGGGGCCCAGAGGGAGCTCTGTGAGCAGCAATTCCCCCGTGCTCAGACTGCAGGCTGCTCTGGGAATACGTGTACCAGCTCCTGTCCGACCGCCGCTACGAGCCCTACATCCGCTGGGAGGACAGGGAAGCCAAAGTGTTCCGTGTTGTCAACCCAAACGGGCTCGCCCAGCTCTGGGGCAACCACAAGGTAATTGCAGTTTTGAGTGAATTTGTCATCCCTGAGAGTGAATTTTTCGTCCCTGGGTTTCTGCATGTCCCTTCTATGACCTGTTCCCTAGAGCTGCTGGCCCAGGGGGTGCAGGGTTGGTGAGAGATGCCAGCCTGGTGGTTAAAGAGGGACTTTCTTATCCCCTGGAAAGCAAACCATGAAGGCAGTCTGGGTTAGGGAGCCACACTGCAGACCCACAGTGCCCCAAACCACCTCAAATGCACACAGACCCACACCAAGTGTTGTTGCTTGCTTTTGCTCAACACCCCACAATTCTTTTCTCCTTCCAGAACAGGATGAACATGACCTATGAGAAGATGTCACGAGCACTCAGACACTACTACAAACTCAACATCATCAAAAAGGAGCCAGGGCAGAAGCTGTTGTTCAGGTGAGGTGAAGCAGAACAGGGAAATGAGCTACCTGGGGCAGCATGGATGGGGCATGGAAAGGTGATGAACTCCAGATGTTGGCAGCTGTTTCATCCAGCAGCATCCTCCCCTGCACATGTCCCAGTGGCTTTGTGTCCAGGCTCTGTCCTGTGCCAGCTGGGACCTCAGTGCATCCTGGGACCCTCAGCAAAGCCCAAGGATGGCAAATCCCCTCTGAGCTCCAGAGCTCAGCTGATCACAGAATCATGGAAGGGTTTGGGTTGGAAAGGACCTCAAAGATCATCCCATTCCACCCCCTGCCACGGGCAGGGACACCTGCAGCTATCCCAGGTTGCTCCAAGCCCTGTCCAGCCTGGCCTTGTTGAGGGCAAAGGCTCCAGCATTTACAGCTTGGTTTGGGGCTGGGTTTGGATGTGCCCTAAAGTCATCACAAAAATGTATTTCAGGTTTTTGAAGACTCCTGGGGAGGTTGTCCATGAGAAATCCAGCAGACTGGAGCAGATGGAGAGTGAGGACCATGAGGATTTGAAGGAAGACTCACTGGAGGTTTCACCATAGTAAATCTTTGGAGGCTTCACTTCAGTGCATGACAGAGAGCCTTGTGCTTTGCTGAGCACTGCTGGTGTCTCTTGCCTCTCCTGTACAGAAGGCCACAGAGCTGGCCTGGATTCCAAACCCTGCTGTGAGCCAAATCTGGGACATCTCTGGGGTGTCATTAGCAAAACACACCCAGAAGTTGTTCCCCAGCCCCAAAAGTGCAGGTGGATGTGTGAGCTGGTCTTCTGCTGGTTCCTCTCCTGCCCTTTGGAAGGGAATGTGATATTTTTGCTCTGAAATTTTGATGCTTGTCTTTAAGGTCTAAACCTGTGGAAAAGATGCCTCTGTTCTTCAGTGAGATGTGCTGAGCAGAGCTCTGGGCTGAGCTGAGCAGCTGCTGCTCTGCTTTGGCAGCGAGGGCTGTCCCCAGCTGGGAGTGTCCTGCTCTGAACCTGAGCCATTTCCTCAGCTCAAGATGGACTGGTATTGTAAATATGGTGCATGCTGGAATCCCACTGTCTCCTGTGAGATTGCTCTGGGAATTAAGGTTAGGAGTGAGCTGAAATACCTGCCTGGTTTAGGCCTGGCACAAGCTCCAGGCTCCATGGTTGCCCATAGCTGGTATTCACTTTAACTCCTTTCCCTCCAGGTAATTTTTTTTTTTGTAATTACTTTTGTGATTAAATAATGTGAAAAGAAACAAAGCTAGTAACAAATACGACCCCACCCATGGTCAGATATGTGATTATTTGCTTTGAGTTTGAAGCAGGAATGCTTGAAGTGAACAGAGTGTCTGTGTGTGTGTGTGTGTGTGTGTGTGTGTGTGTGTGAAAACAGGAAGTACCCACTACTATTTTCACTTTGCTTTCCACAGAGGAAATAAAATGCTGTGACTGTAAGGTTGAAAATACCACTTCTTGCTGTTTGAAACTGGGAAATCCAAGTTTTCCTCATTTAAAACCAGCTCCTGTGTGCACCCAGATCTCCTCCCCATCTTATGGCAGCTCCTAAGCCAGAAGTCACCAGTCTGAGCTGCTCAGCAGCTGATGGCTGAGCACAGCACAAACACCACGAGGTTTCCACCCAAAGTGCTTCGTGCCAGCCTGAAACTGCAGCACCTTTGGCTGCAACTGGTCTTGGTCCTGCAAAAGTCCTTTACAGCTGCAGCCTGGAGATGCCAGTAAGAGACAGTGGTGGGGTGGGTGGTGGCTGGCAAAGCTTCAGCAGTAAAACATCTCTGGAAAAATGGCTGAGGAGATTCACTACCAGAACAGAGGTGCTTGAAAATTTGAGTGGTGGGGGAGAAGGAAACGAGGAGCTCTAGTGGGGCAAATGAGTGTGAGGTCACAGCCTGGGGCAGATCCTGGCTAGGATCCCTGCTGAGAGAATCCCCACAATCCCTGCTAAGAGAGGGGGCTCAAGGTTCCCCAACACCACCCCCAGCTGCAGCCTGGGAATGCCCACAGCAGGAAGGTGCACTGAAGCCCCCAAACCTCATCCTTCCTGCCACAAAGGATGTTTTTGTCCCAGGGAAGAGTCAAACCAAATCTTTCTTGGGGTGAAATCCTTCAGTTTTGGTGGGACAGATCTCCTTCCTTGGGAACTGTAACTCCTGTGCCACTCCTGGGATATGCACCCATGGGTGCATTTTTCCTGATCTCCTCTTTCCACTCCACTTTCTTGCAACAGAACCAGCCCTGATGGCTCCTGAGGCTCCCACTGCTCCTTCCATCTGTGTGTTCTGTTGGAGCAGGTGGCAGTTGGTGGCCCTGGTTGTGCTGTGTGTGCAGGGAGTGACCTCTCCTCTTTTACCCGTCATGACTAAAGATCACTCTGGGCTCGGCTGGGGATTTCCTTTCCTGGCTGGGAAGCTGCCAAAAGCCCTCAAACCCCTTGTGCCTCCCTGAGCAGCTCCAGAGGGGTCGGGGAAGGGGTGACAATCCAAGGGCACCTTTGCAAGGATGGGTTGGAAGGATGAGCTTTGTCCATGCTCCAAGGAAGCATTTGTGTACCTCCTGGAGAAATACCCTGTGACAAAGAGAGGCAGGAGGGCTGTAAAGCTGCAGCTTTCCTGGAACAGGAACCCATCCCTGTCGGCAAACAATGCTGTAACCTCTGCTTGTGCCGGGGAGTTTGGTCTGGGGCTGTGGGGAAGGACAGCACGTGGCTGCTGGTGGCTTTTGGCACCGCTGGAGTTCAGGGGCTGTGAAACACAGCCAGGTGCCTCATGTGGGCTTTCCCAGAGGTATCCAGGTGCTTCATTCCCTGGAGAACATCAGCCCCACATCTGCTGGTGTTTGGGGCATTGCACATGGCTCATCTGCTGGGGGAAGCAGCTAAAACCACACCCAGGGCTGGAGGAAAGGAGGATTTGCTCTGGGGGCTGGTGCACACCATGCTCTTGGATCAGAGGAACTGCAGAACTGGGCTGAGAGGTTTCCACTGAGGCCCTGTGTTGGCTGGGGCAGGGAGCAGTGGCTGCCCCCAACACCCCACCATGGTCCAGATATTCCCCTCCACACCCCACCACGGTCCAGATGTTCCTTTCTACACCCCCACCACTGTCCAGGTGTTCCCCTCCACCCCACCATGGCTCAGACCTGCAGCTGCTGTGTTTTGGTGCCCAGGTTGATGGCTCATGGCTGGTTGATGGCTCACAGGGACCTTTGTGGCTGACATAAAACACAGGTCAGGCTGGCTGTGGCTTTGGCTGGCCAAGCCCCTCCAAGAGGGTGATTCCCAACCCCTCCTGACACCCATTTGAGATTGTCCCAGCCTCGTGCAGAGGAGAGTTTTCCTGATGTCCAATCTCAACCTGTGTCTTCCCAAAGTGCTTTGCCCCCTGCCTTCTGAACCTGTTGTTGCCCTCTGCACCTTGCAGTTTCACATGGGGAATGCCTCTCCCTTGGTTTTTTCCCGTCTTACAAAGAAATTTCCACTGCAGAAGCCACTTGTCCCCTGCTGTGTTCTCATGGGTTTAGTTCTGCTTTTCTCCCCAACATCACTGGCCTGAAGATGCCAACCCCAGCACTGGGTGCTCCCCCACCATGACTGCATTTCCTGCCAGCTTCCTCGTTCTCTCCCAGCACTGATAAGAAAGGTGGATGGAAAATTTGGGTCCAGATCTCTTGCCCCCACTCTGGTAATGGGATTTTGGTTCATCTCAGTCTCCTGCATCTTTTTCTTGTGCCTCTCTCCCATTAGGTTTGAACATGCCCCAAATCCCAGGAAGGATCTGAGCTTGGATAAAAGTCTTGATCCTGAATCACATTTCAGGTGAAGATTTTTCCTGGAGTTTGGCTCTTCCATCTTCTGGCTGTGATGAGCAGAAAGAACTCTCCAGCTATGAAAGTTAGAAAGTGATGTGTTTATTGGGCACACAGGGAGCAACCTCCCAAAGAGATGTGTGAAATTCCCAGAGCTGTGCCTGCAAGAGGCCACACATCAACACTGATTCACAACTGAATCATGAGCAGAGATGGTGTTTGGACCCAGCCTTGGGTAATTTCCAATAGAAAGATCTCCAAACTGGAGATGGCCAAACTGCATGGCCAGAGTGGATGTGGCTTTTTTGTTTTATGGAATAAAATAGATTGTGAAACTCCTCCTCACCCCCTGGAATCAGCTTGCTTGTGGAAGGGTGTGGACAAGAGCTGGAAGCAGCCTGGAAGCTCCTCATCCATTTATCAGTAGATGAGGATGCTGAAAAACTGAGCCAGGTAATTCCTAATCAATACCAGACTCTGATTCAGCCGAGTGGGCTCAGGAGAAATGGAGGGATGTGGTCTGGATCTCTCCTAATCACAGGAAATTATGGCATGGAGAATTTATAGTAAGAGAAACAAAACAGTCCTGAAGTGTTCTGTTTGCAAGCTGAACTCCGTATCAGGAAAAGAACATTTTTATCCAGGAGACACCTTGAACATCAGCTGCAAGCAGCGCTGCTCCGGTGGAAATCTTCCCGAGGGGTTTTCCAAAAAGGGATTTTCCAAAGCCTGCGTGTCTGCAGCTCCGGCCCCATCCCTGCGAGCTGCAGTGCGGAATTTTGCCATCAGATGGCAAAGCAGCGATGGGGAATAGCGGGAAGCACCTGCCCGAGGATGCCACACCCACGGGAGGGGGCACTGGGGTGGCCGTGGGGCCAAAAGCACCTTTGGTGTCAGATTTGCTCGGCCCGGGTGCAGTTTACAGGTGTTGGGTAGGGCAGATCTGCCTGCTGGGAGATTTTCCATCCCTGGGTGAGGCTGAGTGGGAGCCACGGGAGTGGGAAGGATTTGGAGCAAGAGCTGGTTCATGTTTTAGGGTGGAAGCACAGGGTGTCTGAAGGACCCCAGGGTGGTTTCCAGGGACGTTTCAGCCCAGCTGTGCCCAGAGTTGTGCAAGAACCTGGCAGTGCCATGTCCCAGAGTGTCTGTGGTCCCACAGGATCCGCCTGGGAGCTCCAGGGATGACATCAGAGCTTCCTGCACTGAAACCCCACTCACCCGAGAAAGCTGTGACTTCCCCTCACAGAAACAACCCAGAAGAGCCCATCTGAGGCATCACACCCAGTAAAAAGTGACAAACCAAACCCAAAGCCAAACAGCTGCCGGAGATAGCTGGTCTCAAAGGGCAGTGCTTACAGCAGCTGACAGGTGATTTTATGTTGTTTTGCTGCTACTTGCCATAAGGAAATTGTTTTCTCCTCCAGTGAAACTCACGCCCATTGATCTCCACCACGAGGGTGGTGATAGCAGGGATCCCAGGCGGAAACCTTGGCTGCTCTCACCTGAATGGCTGCTAAAAATAGGACTTTACTCAGCCACCAGCTTGGGTATATAAAGGCACCTCCCAGGAGAGCCTGAGATCCCTCAGCGCCTGTGGCCCAGGACTCCTCTTGAACTATGTCCAAAGGAGCAGAAATTCCCATGAAAAGGTAAAAACCAAACCAGCAAATAACCAATGTTGAAGTCAATGCATTGGAATCAAAGTAGGATGGGAGTTGTGGCTTTGCCATGATGAAGTTTAGTGGAATGATTTTTTGTTGAGTGTTTGGTGGGCTTTGGTGTTGGCTTGGATGAAAGGAACTTGCCTTTCTGATCCCAAAAGCAGGCTGAGGTGGGGTGGGCATGCTGTGTGTTGTGATGATGATCTTTGGGTCTGAGCAGAGGCTGATTCCCAACTCCAAGGTGCTTTGTACAGCCCAGTGTGCCAGATTTCGGTGCAGGTTCCCCGTGTGCTGCTCAGGGGTGGAGAAGTCTGGTTTGGGTCTGGTTCTTTGAAGGGTGAAATTGGTTTTGGAGGTAAAACCAGCATGAGGCACCACCATGGCTCTCTGGTTTTCCAACAGCAGCATCTTTGTTGAATTTTGCTCGTGAATGTAGAGGAGAAGGGTGGTGGGAAAGGCAGGGACTGGTGCTCTGAGCTCTGTTCCATCCCTGTGCTGCTGGGAGCTCACAGAAGGGCTGTGTCACCACAAGGTGACCAAGGCCATTTGCAAGAGCCCACATCCCTTGGCCTCTCCAGGGGCTGCAATGATTTTTAGCAGCCAATACTTGAAGGGGAAATACTCTAAATTCTGGGTTCTGTTCCAGGACTCACTGGGTGCTCCTGGGGTGTTGTTTTTCATCATGCTGTGGGAACACATTGCCATGGGATAATGGGATGGTGTCTGGGTGTTGTCCTTGCTGGATAA